ATTTTTGTTCAATAAAAATCTTTCAAATGCGACTGTAGCTTTTTTTCCCAAAAAAACTTTGTCTTCAAAATAAGGGTGCGTCCTATATTCCGAAAAATACGGTAATCTTTCTTCGTATGTAAATAAAATCGTTGTAAGTTGTTTCTTTCGTGATAGTTAGAATGTTATTTAATTTAAAGAATTTTCTTCTATAGCTTTTGTAGGTCATTTTCTCGGTTTGATTCTAACAAATCTGTTTTTATTTTTTTGGTATCTTTATTAAATGGTTGAAAATTTTGTCTAATTTCTTCTTTTATTAAAGTCTTATTTGAAAAAACAAAATCTCATATTCTTAGATCGGCTTTATCGTGTGGTTAAATTCTCGGAAGAAAAGCACACAATTCAGACACTGGAAAACACCAGGCTCTTATTAATCTGAGTTGGAATAAACCATGTATTATTGTTTGTTATTTTGTCAGGAAACAGTTGATGAAACGTTTATCATTTTGTCAGGAAATACTAGATGGAACGTTTGTCATTCCATCAGGAAACACGCGATGAAACATTTGTCATTTCGTCAGGAAACAGTTAATGAAACATTTGCCATTTCGTCAGGAAATATTCGATGAAACACTTATCATTTTGTTAGGAAACACTCGACGAAACGTTTGTCATTTCGTCAGGAAACACGCGATGAAACATTTGTCATTTCGTCAAGAAACAATTAATGAAACATTTACCATTTCGTCAGGAAACAGTTAATGAAACATTTGCCATTTCGTCAGAAAATATTCGATGAAACACTTATCATTTTGTTAGGAAACACTCGACGAAACGTTTGTCATTTCGTCAGAAAACACGCGATGAAACATTTGCCATTTCGTCAGGAAATATTCGATGAAATGTTTGCCGTTTCGTCAGGAAATGTTCGATGAAACATTTATCATTTTGTTAGGAAACACTCGACGAAACGTTTCTCATTTCGTCAGGAAACACGCGATGAAACATTTGCCATTTCGTCAGGAAATATTCGATGAAATGTTTGCCGTTTCTTATGGAAACATTCGTTTAAACGTATATGTGAACATTCTCAGCCAAATTAAAAAATTGTTTCCTTACAAAAGAAATAAAGTTGTAATTATTCCAGTAAGTGGACTGTCAGATTATATAAAACAAATGTATTGTGGATTTAAAAAAAAAAACGTACAAGACTGGGCTATTTGTTACGTTACACAAATGGATCCTTTGTTCTTAACTAACTCTATATCGACTTTATAAATACGTACATAAGAATAACCAGTAACTGCGTGGAAGAATCGGGTATGTACTGCTGTTTAAATTATTTATTTTCGCATTATATGTCGACCTCAACCAAATGAAAAAATAAATGCCAAAGGTTTGATAATCACAGATTGGAAATTTCAAAGAATTCTATAAGATTTAGTTTTAGCTAGTGCATAGTATTATTTGTTTCAACGGTAAGCTTGAGGGCTGTAACACTGTAGTTCGGGGTTCAATTCCCTACGGAAGGCACAGCATTGTATAGTTTTGTGTTTAACGACAAACAAACAAGCACAACTAAAATTATTGCATATCTAATAACCAGTACGTTTAAACTTTAAGCCAATACGGAGGGCACAGCACAGATAGCCCATCGTGTAGCTTTGTGTTTAACAACAAACAAACAAATCAAATGGAATTCGCACCAAAAGCACGTGCAATTAATACCGATTAGTCGAGCGCTATCTATTACGAGCTTAGTGTTATTAGACTGAACGTGTTTTTTAAATCTACTTCTATAGTACTGTTAAGAAAATTCAGAACAACTGAAACTAAACCTTTAAAATCCTTTCAGTTTTGATTTTTTTTAAAAACCGCTATTTAGTTGCAATCACGGACATAAGTTGGTCTAAATACCGCGTCCGGAAAACGTAATCTATTTTCCTTTTTTGTCACTGAGCACTGCTGTTAACTGTGCCATTACAGTTACGTTTCTATTAAATTACCTGATATCATGGAAGAGATGATTAGCGGGAGGATCAACATTTTCAACATCCTCATCAGGATATCTCCGGGAAACGACACCAGCATGATAGCATCCTCGCCATAGTCAGCGAAACGTGCCAGGAAACCAATCAGTACACCGAGTAGAACACCCAATACAGTAAGAATCAGCAGTAAGTTGTCCTTTGACCAGATCAACACCTAACACAAAAGGAGAACACTGTGATGAATAAAATATTTACGGTCTAACCAGTTTCTTGCAGGAAAGGTACAAAAATGTTTTATTTGAACAATCAGACTGTTTAGCAGTTTAGAATATAAGAATATACGTGTTACTGCAAACGTTAACAGATTTTCGGTAAACTGAAATTATTTTGAAATGTTATAAATTTAACTATTGTTCGTAGAGTTTCGGCTTTAATGAACCGCTACTGCCTGTATCTGGAATGGATCAACGTTTCGGTTTCTATACTTAGGCCTTCTTAAATGGTGTTACAAATTTTACTATTGTTCGTAGAGTTTCAGCTTTAATGAACTTCTCCTGCCTGTATCTAGAATGAATCAACGTTTCTGTTTCTATACTTAGGCCCTCTTTAGGTCAAAGTGACTGTTGTGGTAATGACGTAGAATATAACGATTTTATTTCGCGGGAACAGCAAAGCTGTTAAGCCTTCTTCTTCTTCTTCAGTGCAGCATTAAGCTTAAGGTTTTTTATTTCTTATTATCAAACAAAAGATAGCGAAATTTGTATAATAAAACTCTAAGTGCAATAGGGTGCTTGTGTACAAATCAACTGTAGCAAACAAACTTCCCTGTGTAAAGACGCAAAAATCTACACTGTGCCGATCTCGTTGGGTTAACGGAATTTGATACCGTAACCCTCATTTGATTATGCTATCAGATTTATTACCATGGACTGACGAGAATTGACATTACTATCCTCATCTGGTCCTGCTACAAGCTTTTTTACCATGGACCGCCGAGAGTTGATATCACTATCTTCATCTGGTAATGCTTTAATTTATTTACTGGTCATGCTATAAATTTTATTACCATGGGCTGACAAGAGTTGATGTTATTATCCTCATCTGATAATCATGCTATAAGTTTTATTACCATGGGCTGCCGAAAGTTGATGATACTATCCTCATCTGGTAATGCTTTAATTTATTTACTGGTCATGCTATAAGTTTTATTACCATGGGCTGCCGAAAGTTGATGATACTATCCTCATCTGGTAATGCTTTAATTCATTTACTGGTCATGCTACAAGTTTTATTACCATGGGCTGACAAGAGTTGATGTTACTATCCTCATCTGGTAATGCTGTAATTTTTTACAATGAGTTGAAAGAAACTGATATTGTTATATTCATCTGGCCATGCTATGTTGTTTTTATATTTTATGTGAACTGAGGAAAGCTGATATTACTTGAAGCTAACATCTAGTATTCGTGCGATTAGTACGAGAATACTTAAAATTTTAAACATATCGGAAACAACAAAGTGATATAATTAAGGCTTGGGGTTTTAAGGTAAAAAATTAGATTCCAACACTGTGTCGGTGGAACGTTGTTTACTGATTAATATATACCTGATGAAAGTTTATACTAGTTACACGGTACACCACCTGGTGATGTGCATGATAAAACCTCTAAAACCGAACGAAGAAAATCATTCCAGTACATGTATTTACCTACACATCAACAACATGTGTAACGAGATGTCTTGTGGTTTGGTTTATTTTGAGTTTCGCGCAAAGCTGCACGAGCTAGACTAGAGGGAAGGTAGCTAGTTAACATCACCCACCGCCAACTCTTGGGTTATTCTTTTACCAACGAATAGAAGGATTGATCGTAACATCATAACGCTTCCACGGCTGCAAGGACGAGCATGTTCGGCGACGGAGATTCGAACCCACGACCCACGGATTGCGAGTAGAGCACCCTAATCACCAGGCCATGCCAGGCCTATATCTTCTGGTAAAGATTTCAGTATTCTCTGCTCAGTAAAGACCGAAAGAACGTTGCAGACAAAGACTTTATTAATTATACATTTGGAATCAAGTCTAAAATACCTTTTTATCCTTTCCAAAATCTTTCAAAAGATATACTATTTTCTTGAATGTTACTTTCCTTAACAATATTGATTAGAATATTTAATATATCTAATTTTATTATTTTCTTGTTATGCTTTTATTATGGCGATTATTTGCATAATTAGTTTAGTATAAGGAATTAGGGCTAGCCTAAATCTCCTGAGCTCGCCAAACTTTATATTATTGGGTTTACGGCTGAGAATGTCGTTAAGAGAGAGAGAGAGTACCCAACTGATGAAATAATGCATTCTAATCTTTATAAGTAAGAATGTAATAAAGGTGTATTTATTTAGCTATAATCATTACCGAGTTGATTTTTATTTTTGATACAAGTAGATAGGCTATACCGATTGGAAATTAATGTTAATATTTATTGATCTTTACCTGGTCATGATATTTTTATCATGAGTTGAGGAGAGCTGATATCATCATCATTAGGTCATGTTATCTTAACTGATAATGACTTGCAACACATACATGGCATGGCACACCGCGTGGTTTCTAGCTTAATTTTTAATGATTTAGAATACATACATGGCACACCGTGTGGTTTCTAGCTTAACATATAATGATTTACAACACAAATATGACACACCGTGTGGTTTCTAGCTTAACTAATAACGATTTACAACATGCACATAATATGGTTTCTAACTTAACTAATAATGACTTACAACATGAACATAACATGGTTTCTAGCTTAACTAATAATGATTTACAACATAAACATAACACGATTTCTAGCTTAGCTAATAATGGTTTACAACATAATCATGACGCAATAAAGCATTGTACCCGAGGAGAGAAATGCAACATTATTTATTTGTTTTCTTCATCTCGATTGTCCTAAACTACCAGGCCATTTGAAAATAAAAAATAACATTATTACTTTAAATAGTTTGACCTTTGAAAAAGAGTGTATAAGATCATGTCAGTGTCATTATGTTACGTGTTTTTCAAACATCTGGGTAAAGACAACTCAAACATTTTATATAAAAATACTACTTCATAAGTAACGTACATGTTTGTGTATGTGTCACGCATGCGTCAAATTTTTGCAGTTCCTATGTGCCATCTCTTATTAATATTGACTGACGTTATTATTTGTTTAGTTTAACCGGAACGGCTCTAGTTCGTTGCCAAGGTTACGTGTGAAGGTAGACAACGTTTATCATGCACGTTGTGCTAGCTTTTGGCTTTTATAACATTACCCGGTTTTCGGAGACAAAGATAAGTCGACCAACACCACTGTTAGTACTTTGTTGATTCGATACACACAGATCTCTCCACTGAATTCTATAAGCAATCTCTGAAGTCTACAGTTTTGAAATATTTCAGAACGGAAACCTGTGGCGTATCACAGTAAACGATACTAACCATCTAAACTGACTTTAAATGTAGGAAGTAATAATGTATAAAGAAACTTTTCCAAATTGACATCATAACAAGTAATTAGTGAAAAATTAATCTTACAGTTGAAAAAAACTGTAACTAAACAATGTTTTGTAATCTATGTTACCACATATGTATAACTATGTATACATTTTGTAATCTATGTTACCACACATGTATAACTATTTATACATTTTGTAATCTATGTTACCACACATGTATAACTATTTATACATTTTGTAATTTATGTTACCACACATGTATAACTATTTATACATTTTGTAATTTATGTTATCACACATGTATAACTATGTATACATTTTGTAATTTATGTTACCACACATGTATAACTATGTATACATTTTGTAATTTATGTTACCACACATGTATAACTATGTATACATTTTGTAATTTATGTTACCACACATGTATAACTATGTATACATTTTGTAATTTATGTTACCACACATGTATAACTATGTATACATTTTGTAATTTATGTTACCACACATGTATAACTATTTATACATTTTCTTCATTTTCAGAAGTAAAAACTTATCACAATCCCATAAATATATGTGATGGAAGCAGAGGATTTACAGAGTTCGATAAATGTATATGTGATGGAAGCAGAGAATATATAGAGTTTGATAAATGTATATGTGATGGAAGCAGAGAATTAACAGAGTTTGATAAATGTATATGTGATGGAAGCAGAGAATTTACAGAGTTTGATAAATGTATATGTGATGGAAGCAGAGAATTTACAGAGTTTGATAAATGTATATGTGATGGAAGCAGAGAATTTACAGAGTTCGATAAATGTTGGAGATTAATACACTAGATTATTTTTTATTGTTACATTTGTTTCAGATTTTGTGATTAGAAACAAACACGTGCAATCAACGAGTTTGGTTTAAATGTTTGCACAACACACTCGCTACAATAGAAGCATCAACTCACACAAAGATATAAAAACCAGTGAAACTTGGTAACTTATGAATGAGTACACATACTTTCAAATTAGCATCAGTTAATAGCAAATCCTTAGGGCCAATGTCCACAGTTCAACACCAGTCATGTTAGTGTGAGTAAGCTTAATCCTGTGAAAGTTTAAATCACGTGAAAACATGTCAACACTGGCAACAAAATACCTAAACTATAACACATGATTAGATAAAGTTAAAAACATTTTACTGTTTATAATGTCCACCGGGGTTTGATTTTCTGATGTGGACACAGAAGATAGCCCAATGTGGCTTTGCTCTAAAACAAACAAATTGTTTGTAATATATAACTTCGAAAACTTAGATCTGTCACATTCGAAGATGAAAACCATCCTACAAGTAGTGATGATTCAGAAAATATAATGACAAAAACGAAACCTCAATCTAAGCTGGATTTTACATGACTTAGTTTGTTATGTTTTGTTTTTGAATGTCGCGCAAAGCTACACGAGGGCTATCTGTGCTAGCCGTCCCTAATTTAGCAATGTAAGACTAGAGGGAAGGCGGCTAGTCATCACTACCCACCGCCAACTCTTGGGCTACTCTTTTACCAACGAATAGTGTGATTTACCGTCACATTCTAACGCCCCCACGGTTGAAAGGGCGAGCATGTTTGGTGGGACGGGAATTCGAAACCGCAACCCTCAGATTGCGAGTCGAGCGCCCTAACCACCTGGCCATGCCGGACAGAACATGACTTAGAGACAACACGGAAACTGTAACGTTGTAAGTTGAGAGAGATAATTCACTCCCCGGGAACTCAATTTTGTGTTGAAAGTATACGTGTTCATGGTTGATTATTTTCAGAATCCCCCTGTGTCATAACAGCATTTCACTTCTTGGGCCCCTCCCCTCAAGTAATGCCCCACCCCCACAGTAGGAATAAAGGCGCGCCGCATGCATGCTCTCACCTTTCCTTCTTGAGATCCTGTTAATACGAGTAACGAACCACTAGTATCAGCTGTTGGGCTGGTGATGCTGGGAGAGATTTGTCCCGAAAACCCGTTGCTGTGGCTACGAAGGAGAAGCGGTTTCTGTTCTTTCATTTTTAAAGATTTTTTTTTACCTTTAAATTCGGTTTAGCATATACTTCTTACACGGGCTGTTCAGACGCATGGCTTTATTTAACCATTTTTCCAGCAAAGCGACGTTCTAACGTAGCTGACAACATCGTTTATGTACCAAAAATATATGTATTTTATACAGTGTAATAATCTCTTAGTCTGCGAGTCTAACTCGGATTTATATCTTTTGAAGTAAACTGACGTTTTACTATAAATACCATGAACAACTTTCGAATAATGGAAAACTGTTAGGCCTAACAGCCGGGCCTATAGTGTATAGCGGGATCAGAATGAGTACGGTATAATAACATTGATAAGGATAGAAGACATTACAGCCGTTTTCACAGGAGACGCTGAAGATCGATACAACTGTAGCCGGGGAATGGAGACTCGATTCCGACAGGGCGCTTGAATAAACAGACTGGCGTAAGTCTGGATCTGTGGACGTTGGCGCACTTACGGAAATTGTACAGTAAATGTCTTGCAAAAACTTAAAGCACAAAGTTAAGTTGTGCTTGTACAATAATCGACATATCGTCACATGGCGACGAAAGGGTTGTGCCATGGTTACATAATCAATATTCACCACTAGTTGCAGCGTGTACTAATAATAGGAAATACGCTAAAAACTTAGATTTAAATAAAACAATTATAATCTCATGCATTAACACCTGGAGCTGTGACGTCACATGTTGGCTAATGCCGTTTATTGGATTATACAATAAAAATATACGGTAACTATGGTTAAGACGTGCAATTGTCAAATAGTAGAACATTTTAGGTATGAAGAAGGAATTTGAAAATAATGGTATCAAGTATTTGTAAAACGTGCGTGAAATAGACTACCCGCTTTATTTTTATTCATAATTTCACTTTGAAAATGTCCTGCTGACATTACCTATAAACCATTAGTTAAATATAGTGTATTCACATTTTCTTTGACCACTACTTGACCATAATGAACGCACATTGTTTTTAATCATTACAATACAATCACATTTCTTTAGCTGATACTTGATCTTGAAATAATACAATTTACAGTACATTAATTATTGTGTTGGCTTCTAATTGTTCGTGACAACGTTAGCTTGAAAATCTATTACTATTCAGGCTCAAAATATGTAGTGAACATTATATTATTTGATGATTACAATGTCACTTTTAAATCACTTTATTAACGTTGGGCTGTTGAAAACATGTTACTAACTTTGGTTTGGTTTTCTGTTGGCTTGCTTGTTGTTGTTAAATACAAAGCTACACGCTGGGATATCTGTGCTCTGACCACCACGTGTATCGAAACCCGAATTTTAGCGTCGTAAGCCTGCAGACTTACCGCTGAGCCACTGGGAGCCACTGGGAGGCTAACTTGAGTAAGATATATTATTTGACTTTGATTATTTATCAGTTTGTTTGTAATTAAGCACAAAGCTACACAATGGGCTATTTGTGCTCTGCCCGACACGGATATCGAAACCCGGATTCTAACGTTGTAAGTCCACAGACATACCGCTGTGCCACTGGGGGGCTTATTTATCAGCGATTAAGAGAAGTACAAAAAGTAGTAAATTCGTAATTTAAAAAAAAATCTGTTAACTCCCATGCTTTCAAAAAGTAGGACTTTTTTTCCGTGAGAGGTTGAAGAAGAGGTAATGTCTAACCTCTTAAGATGCTTCATCAAGTTTATTTAAATGTGGGTAGAGGCACCCCTTTTTATACTTATTAGTACACTTCACCTTTAGATTAAGCTACCTAATTTAGTTATGCTAAAATTTTATGTGGTACTACGCTGCTTTTCTAGAAAAATATAAAATCTAGTTTTTAATTAATTGATAATTTCAGCCAGAAAATATCATGCCCAAATTTGCTTAACTGATAACACAGGCCTGCGATGGCATTATTGTCTAGAAATATTTACATGTTCTACAGTAATTCCTGTACGCTAAATCCGAAAAGGATATCCATTTTTCTCCATCACGTACAGGTTTTTCCCAAAATGTCATATGTACTTTTACATAAGTGAATCATTTTCATTTAAATCGGGTCACATTTTGTTATGCTTAAAATGTTGACAACCATTGGCTATAGATTTCTCTAGACCAATCGCGAAGTGAGTCTTATCGATCGTTCTAGAACCCACGAGAAACACACATATAACACACGAGAGTATATAAACAGTTAACAGGCCGCATGAGTTGTAATTTCTGGATAGTATTTGCTTGTTCGTGCACCTTGACATTATTTTTTTCTTTTTAATATTATCTATTCGTCGCTATGGTAACAAGCAGTTGCGTAAATGACCCAAACATGTTCTGTTATATTTGTGGTAAATTTGTTGTAAATTTGATCTGAGTAAGAGTATTATTTCTTCCCTATTCATAAAAAATCCTTACATAATAAAACAACAGAATATTATTCTCGAAATCTGCGTAGCTGAATTTTAGAAAATCCGTTATTAAAAACAAAACAACTTTATGAAGTTTAAAATCGCAGGCCTGTGTTATTTAAACTTGAAATGGTGTTACCACATTATTTAGTGGGGTTAATAGTGAATGCTTGAGGTTCTCTGCTCTTCTTGGAACTATTTTCTACATTGTCGATAATGCTCAGTCTGAAGACTGTGATCATGTATTATTGTCCGTCACCACATCTTCTATGCTAACTCTATATGGACGTCGGCTTCCAAAAACACATTTAAGCAGACCAAACGTAGAAAATACGCATACGAGAATTTGACAATGTGTGTGATCTAATGGAATTGCTGTAATACCAATTCCTTCGTCCATTTTTCTCATGAAAACAACTACCGATTTCGAAATGTGTCTGGATGCTTGTGAACTTTTGGTTTCTGAGCTTTGGTCAACTTACAGTTCTTGTGTATTATCTTGTTAAAGGTACAATGAGGCATTTTTGTTTGTTTATAGGTAAGCACAAAGCTACACAATGGGCTAATTGTGTTGTGCAAACTACGAGTATCCAAACCCAGTTTTTAGCGATATATGCCTTCAGACTTACCCTGTACCACTGAGGGCACAAGGAGGTATATCCAATTTCAGTGCAATTACTTTTTGGGTTGGAAGGTTCTTCTTCGTAACCATAATCTTTACTTTGAAGATGAAAGACTGACTTGGGGTGTGGTTTTATTGCCCGTTGATATCCTAAACGCTCTACTTTATGAGTTTTTCTGCTTTCTTGGCGAACACTGAAGACTCCCTTCTTCGAAATGTTTTATCCTTTTAGCTCTACTCTTAATCTTTTAAGAAACTTGATTTATGCATATCCTTCATCAGAAAGGGCTATGAAAAAATCCTCTAACGATAAGTTTATCATGGTTTGATCAGAAATTCACCAGGAACCGAATGTATAGGCCCAAAAGGTGTCGCCCGCGGTTCTTCAGTTCCCATCTGTGGTGACATGCCACTACATTACCATATGCGGGTCTTTCTTGTAAAGTCTGATTAACCCCTGTATGATTTCACCGTTAAAAATGTTATCCATTTTTAAAAGTTTCATATCAATTAAAAAGTATTATAGGCTTTATTTTACTACAGCGGCAAGTCTACGGATTTACAAAACTAAAATCAGGGGTTCGATTCCCCTTCGTGGACACAGCAGATAGCCCGATGTGGCTTTGCTATAAGAAAAACACACAAAAACAAACTTATTTTACTGATAATTTGACATTGAGAACATGTACCCACATTTTAAAATAAATCCTATATTAATTTACAGTGTGTGTCGTGTTTATTTGTCCTTGAACTCTTCGAAAGACCTGCCAAGCTAGTAGGGCCAAACTTGACAGGCGGGTCCGGCGTAGCCTGGGGCTGTGCTTTTCTATATGGCGTAGTCCCCCTATTAAGGGATACCAAGAGGGGCTAAAACGCAACTGGAAAGTCACCCACGTATGAAGGGGTATAGGAGTAGGTTTTCAGAGTGGCTGATCCCTACTTCGGCATCGCATTTTGTGTTCCTTGCCACCTAGGGGTCCCACAGGCGCCATGTTTGAAACTGTGTTTACACTCCCACTCATAATGAGGTACACGGGCAGGTGTTCTAACGGGGGGTTATTTTCAGGGACGGACCCTTCTCCCTTTGAGGTAGCTATAGAATTGGAGATAATCGAAGGCCCCCCAGTGGACTTACAACGCTAGAATCCGGGTTTCGATACCCGTGGTGGGCAGAGCACAGATAGCCCATTGTGTAGCTTTGTGCGTAATTACAAACAAACAGATAATCGAGGAGTTTCATCGGTACATTGGAGCCTTTGAGCCCTCTAGCGGAATACGGGTATTTTATACTAGTATTGATGATTTTAACCCTTAGATAGTTTAAATACTTTATTTTTATTGATAATGCAACCATGGACATTTAGTATCTACTTTTATATTTACTGACTTTTTACCTTGAAATTCTACTAACTATTTAATATTTAAAAATAATTCAAGTAGAAGATAAGTTGCATCTTTATTTCTGTGGTTACTTTCACCGGTCAAATAAGCTCCCACTTTTTCTTATAAATAGTTTTAACCTTGACAATTTATTATGATTTAAATTTTTGAATACGTTATTAAGATTATTATGTCTGACAACTTGATTTCAAACATACGTCACCTAAGACATGTTAACACACTTTAGTTTTTTATTTATGGAAACGTAACCTCAGCAAGAATTTGACGAAGAAGTTTCACCTATAACCTTTATCACTAAAGGTCCGAGAGTAGTCCACTGGTAAGTGTGCTGAACTGTGGATTCGTGGGTCCACTATTCGCATCTCGTTACTGTCTCCCCCCCCCCCCAAAAAAAAAAAACGAGCTCCACACTTTGGGGCCGTGTGTTCATTATAAAAACGTCTGTCAACTCCCACTATTCGGTCAGACAAGAGTAGTCGGTGGGTGCTGTTGACTAGCTGCCTTCACTGTAGCCTATCAGTTCTAAATTAGACACGGCTGGCGCAGATGACCCTGGAGTATCTTTGCGTGAATATCCGAAAGTAGACAAACATAACTGGAACTAGAGCACTAGCCTGGAGCTGGATATTCTATAAATCCCGATAGTGCTGAGTAGGAGTTGATGTTATGTTGAGTTATCATTTCCAATTTTGTGTTTATATTTTTAGTCACATGGGAGCTCTAATTTCACCGAGTTTGTTGTAAAAATTGTTTGGATAATTTATAAGTGCATGAGTGTTTTTTTTTCTTAAAGCAAGGCCACATCGGTCTGTCTGCTGTGTTCACCGAAGGGAATCGAACCCCTAATTTTAGCATTGTAAATCCGAAGACTTACCGCTGTCACACCGGGGGACTATACATGTTTGAATACTTGTTATTAAAATTACTCCCTTGTTTCTTTTTCTTTTATATAGTCGAAAAGCAATTTTGTTAAAGATTTGTGTGTTTTGTCTATTTATTGTTAAGT